GAGAGGGCGATGCTGGGGACCGTCTATTCTGCCATCTTGTTCGGAAGTCCCTACATTAACTTTGGATAGGATGATACTTTCAGTATCTCTTTGCTCTCTATGTGCTATGTGAAAAAATAAGTGGATCTATATTTCTTCAACCTTTCCTTCCTCCTCCACTTCCTTTATTTTGTCAGTTGTTTCATTACTATTTTTTAACCACCTTTTTTTTTTTTTTTTTTTTTTGGCAGCTGGCCTGTACAGGGATCCGAACCTGTGGCCTTGGTGTTATAAGGCTGTGCTCTAACCAACTGAGCTAATGGGCCAGCCCTTAACAGCTCTATTGAGATATAATTCATATACCATAGAATTTAGCCATTTAAAGTATACATTTTCAGTGGTGTTTAGTGTATACATCTATCACCACAATGAATTTCAGAATATTTTCATTAAAAAAAAAAAGAAACTTACTGCCCTTAGCCATTACCTCCAGTCCTCATCCCCTCTAGCCTTAGTACTTTTTAAATAATTTTTTAATTTTGAAATAATTACAGACTCAGGAAATTGCAAGAATAGTACATAGAGTCCTGTGTATCCTTACTGACATCTTGTATGTGTAGTGCAATATCAAAAAAATGAAATTGGGCCAGCCCGTGGCTCACTCGGGAGAGTGCAGTGCTGATAACACCAAGGCCCCGGGTTCGGATCCCACATAGGGATGGCCGGTTCGCTCACTGGCTGAGTGTGGTGCTGACAACACCAAGTCAAGGGTTAAGATCCCCTTACCGGTCATCTTTAAAAAAAAAAAAAAAAAAGAAATTGACACTGATTATACAATACTGTTAACTAGACCACAGACTATATTCAGTTTTCACGAGTTTTTAGGTGCATTTATTCATGTAGGTGTATACTCAGTCCAGTGCACTTTTATCCCATGTATAACCTTGTGTAATCACCGTCACGATTAAGATATAGAAACTTTGTGTTGTTGCATCACCACAAAGGAACTCCTATGAGGGTACTTCAAAAAAACTCATGGAAAGATTTGTATTATCTTTTAATTCTATTTTTCCGTGAAGTTTTTCAAGTACCCTTGTGTATTTGCTCCCCCACTCCCATCAGTGTCCCCTGGCAACTGCTAATCTGCTTTCCATCTCTATATTTTTGTTATTTTGAGAGTATTACAAAAACAGAATCATATAGCCTTTGGAGACTGACTTTTCCCTTTAAGCATAATGCTGTACTGTTCCTTTTTTTTTTTGTCGGCTGGTTGGTACGGGGCTCTGAATCCTTGACCTCTGTGTTCTAACACTGTGCTCTAACCAACTGAGCTAACAGGCCAGCCTCCATTTCTTCTTAATTATTGAGATTTATAACATTTACATGCTACTTTTTACTATAGTTAAATCTTTCTTGCCTTGCTTATAGATTCATTCTAAAAATAGTAAACAGCAAAAAATAGTAAATAAATAAATGAAACAAAATAAAAATAGTAAACTCATAAATAAAATTTACAACCTTATGATTATACAAATGTTATTCACTGTAGAACCAAATAAAATTGCACTCAGTATCATTAAGTTTAGATATTTAGTTCCCTACCCCAGTCACTTAGAAGGAGCAAATTAGAAAAGAAGAGAAGGTTGAGACAGGTGAGAACATTAACCAAAACCCAGGCAATTTGGGTCCAGAGCCTATACACTTAACCACTTCTCCATTCTGAATGATAAAAATTATATATTTAAAAAATCAAGTCTGTTGAACTTCAACTTTGAAGAGAACAAGTTGGCAAGAATAGCTAGAAATATTTATAAAAAAGAATAGAGGAAGAAGACTTTCTAGTAGAAGATAAAAAAATTTAAAACTATGATAATTAAATTAAGGTGATACTTGTATGCAAAGGAACTGACAGATCACTGAGACTGAATAGTTAATCCTGAACCAAACAGTATATGTAAAAAAGAGAAAATAATATATATTATAGAAAGCATCAGAAACCAATGAGAAGGGGATTAATTATTCAGGAAAGGATACAGAGAAAGTTGGCTATTTGGAGAAAAAGCAAAATTTTACTTTGCTTCATATGTGAAAGTACAGTTCAAATAGATTTAAGACAAATATTAAAATATGCATGTATTGAAACAACACACTACCACACAAATATGTACAAGAATGTTAAAATGAAAAATTAAATAAAAAAAACCACACCAGAAAATATGTAACTGAGTCGCTAAGCATAAGAATAATGGAAGTAGGCCAGCCCGTGGCTCACTCGGTAGAGTGCAGTGCTGATAACAAGAAGGCCACGGGTTCGGATCCTGTATAGGGATGGTCGGTTTGCTCACTGGCTGAGCGTGGTGCTGACGACACCAAGCCAAGGGTTGAGATCCCCTTACCAGTCATCTTTTTTTTTTACGTGGTGCTGACAACACCAAGCCAAGGGTTGAGATCCCCTTACCGGTCATCTTTTTTTTTTATTAAAAAAAAAAAAAGGAATAATGGAAGAAATAACAAAGGATATATTTTCCTACATACAACTTTTTTTTTTGGCAGCTGGCCAGTACAGGGATCCAAACCCTTGACGTTAGTGTTATCAACACTGTAAATTTTTTTTAAAACTTTATGTACAGAGCTGGTTGTCACCTCTCCCAGGGTGACGGAGACGGAGACACAAAGGATTACTCAAAGCCCATTTCTCCAGAGCAGTGAGAGGCCTGAAGCTGTTATACCCAGGAATAATTCTTTCAGGAGAAGAAAGATCCCAGGAATAGCCCCGAATCAGGTTTTCTCTCCGTTTTTATTCTCCAGGCAAGAAAGTTACAGAAAAGGAACATAGGTGGTTACCAAAAGAACAATGAGATAATCGTCGTACTTTCCCATCATAAGGTTTAGCTGCACCAAGGACATCTGCCCTTAGAGCAAGCATTTATGCTGTCTTACAATTTTTTTTATCTACAACAGAGACTTTAGTCCTGGGAAAGTTTTCTGTTTTTCCCAAGCTTAGCATTTCTATGTGCAATTCTAAAAAGTTAGGCGATTCCTTAAACTACAGGGCTGTGGCCATGCTAAAACTACCTTTGCTTTATTAATGTTGGTATCTTCCACACTGGTTAAAGCACAGCCTTACAACACCAAGTTATATTGAGTTCAGATCCCTGTACTGGCCAGCTGTCATAAATAAAGAAATGAAGGAAGGGAGGAAAGAAAAGAAAGAAAGAAATCAACCAGCCTACCTTATGTACATTAAAAGCCTGTGTAGACAAAACTGAGTAAACATAAACTTGAGAAATAAATTGAAACAAATATGCTGCACTGTTGTTATCTTTAATATATTAGCAGCACTTATCAATTCATAAGAAAAACTGCCTCAGTATAAAATGTTTAAATGCTTCTCAGAAAAGTGGTCATTGTCACAAATATATCATTCTTAGGGAGTTACATACAGTTAAGGGATCCAAATGGATAATTCTTTTTGTTAAAATATTAAACATAAAAATGTTAAACTCCTGTAGTCATCAGAGATTCAATTTTGCACATATTTATGGAGTATTTAGGATCTTGAGATACATGATGAACAAAACAGACAAGAATTCTTCCTTGTGGCACTTACTTAGTAGAGAAAATACCAATTAAAATACCATTTTGGGGGCTGGCCATTTACTCAGTTGATTAAAACATGGTGCTGATAACACCAAGGTCCCTGTACCAGCCAGCCGCCAAAATAAATTAATTTTTTTTAAAGTATCATTTTTATAATCCTAATAGTTTTTTTTCAAAAAATGATGTTGCAGATTTGTTACATGGACACTCCTATTAGATGCTGATCATAGCATAACTTGAAATAACTTTTCTAGTAAACAATTTGGCATATACCAAGAGACTAAAAATATTTGATATTCTGTGTGCCAGAGTATGAATAAGTAATGAGGTAATCAGAGATATAGATAAAAATACCTTGTATATTGTATTGATTCCAAATTGTACTTCTTTTCCACATTTTAATCTCTGAAATTGGGATGAATCTTCTAATCCTTGATACCTTAGAATTATCATTGTTTAATTAGCATTTTCTTTTCATCGGTACAATGGTGTATCGTAGAGACGATGAAATATGGTATATAATGATGTTAATTATAGAGAGAAAGATAGAAACAATAATGGTTTTTATTTATTGAGAACAGAGATTATGGCAAACACTTTACATGTATTATTAGAGTCATTTACTTCTTACATCTCTGATAAATAGATGGTCGTCTTACCTTTTTAGGGTTGAAGAGATTGAGTCCCAAAGAGACAAAATAACTTGGCTACTAAGTTGTGATTCAAACCTAGGTATCTTGACTCCAAAATCCAGTTAATGAACACACAAGTATCCTTCCTCCCTGATCTAAACTTTCAACATTAGGAACATTGATAAATAAGTTTAATAAATCCATCTGATCGACTATTATAAGGCTGTAAAAAAATCATATTTTTAAAGAATATGTAATAATAGCATAAGAAAATGTTCATGAGATAATGTTTAGTTGAAAACATAGAAAGTAAGTATGTACTACAGAATAAAATCTATGTGCACAGAAAAATATTCAAAGGAAATAACCTCACATTATTGTTTGTTTTTTAAACATCTGTATTTTCTACAACTACATTAAGCCTGTGTTTTCTCTGATGCATTCATCAAATATTTATCAGACATCTTTTATGTGCTAGGTACTGTGTCTTGACTCGCATACTTTCATAATGAGAAAAGAAAGTACAGAGAGTTAAGGCACTGTAACAGGAATCTGTTCAGAGTAAATTGGACCAGTGCCTGCCCTCAGAGGAAAAATGTGGGGATTAAATAAGATAATGGAAATAAGAGTGTTCTACAAAGTTAAAAATATTTTACACATTCAAGAATTTAATATTACAAAAAACCCAGTTACGTGAATATTTAATTCCAGAAAAAAATACTTTAAATGATAATTATGTTATATTTAAATTTTTTCCATTTCAAATTTTACAATTTTTATTTCTATTAGGCAGCTACATGTTATGGATGAAACACATGTGATTAATCAAGTAAAAGAAGATGTATGCTATGTATCTCAGGATTTTTATAGAGACATGGATATTGCAAAGTATGTATAATGGTAATGTAACAATTGAAAAGTTGATGCTTGGGTGATGTTACACATAGTTAAAATATTTCATAAATCTCTACTTTGTTTTCCAGGTTGAAAGGAGAAGAAAATACAGTAATGATAGATTATGTTTTGCCTGACTTCAGTACAATTAAAAAGGGCTTTTGTAAGGTATTTAAAAAAATTATTAATGCTATTTCTTCAAATGACCACCAGTCAGATTTGAAAAGCATTTCACATCCAGCTGGCATTGGCAGGATCTTAGGGAGTTGTTGATGACTTCCTTCCTGGTGATCATTTCTACAGGCACAAGTATAAGTCTGATTAATAAAATTTATTTAGGAAAAGAACTGTCAGCCAAATGAGAGCACTTGGGACAGATCTGCAGATAAACTATCATATTACGGTTAACCTATTTCTGTTTACTTAAGAAAATGTGTTTAGATCCAGTTAAGAGTGCTCGCTTTGGCAGCACACATACTAAAATTGGAACGATACAGAGAAGATAAGCATAGCCCTTCGCAAGGATGACACACAAATCCATGAAATGTTCCATGTTTAATAATAATAATAAAAAAATCCTGTTGTGAAAATTATTATAGCTGGCCCAGGGCCAAATTTTATTCATGTTTGGTCTGATATGATCAGCTTAGTTGAACAGGGCAAAATCCAATGTACTTTTAAAGTGTTGGGAAACAGTATATCTTGGATATCAAAATAAGATAATTTCTGTTTGTCTTTCATTGGTTCAGGTAGTTCTGTGTTTGGGTAAATATGAAGTTCTTCTAGTTACTGGCTTGATGTTGGGAAGTTAAAAATCTATGGTGAGAAACTAGAGCACATTTGCACAAGGAGACATTTATGATAATAGTCACTGCAATGCACTTTAAAATAGTGAAAGGCTGCCTGCTTAGCTCATTTGGTTAGAGTGCAGTGTTATATCACCAAGGTCAAGGGTTCGGATCCCCGTACCAGCCTGCCACCAAAAAAAATAAAATAGTGAAAAATTGAGAACAGCCTAAATATCCACTAATGGATTCTTTACTTTGACAGTGTTAAAATTTATACTTTATTCACAATCCATGTTAAATCATGTATGTATCATATTATTAACAATTTTTAATATTTAAAAAGTTATATTTTGTTTTTATATTAGGATTAATCCTATAATGTGTTATTTTGAGTTTAATACTTGATTAACTTGTCTTCACTGTGCCTGATATGCAACAACTTTGACGAGAGCTAATAAATATTTATGAAATTAGAAAAACAATACTACAGAAAATGAAAAGTATATTTATTTGAGAGCCTTTATACTTAGAATATTATTAAAACTTAGACTTTGATAGTTTATTCAAAAATTTTTTAAATGCTTGCGGGAAAGTTGTAACCTTGACTTGTTAGTGATAGTGATAGTAACAATAACAAAATAAGGTCTATAATACCAATACTGATTACAACTGACAGAAATCACAGTTTTATTTCTTGTCAGAAAGAGGTGATAGTTTATTCAAAAATTTTTTAAATGCTTGCGGGAAAGTTGTAACCTTGACTTGTTAGTGCTAGTGATAGTAACAATAACAAAATAAGGTCTATAATACCAATACTGATTACAACTGACAGAAATCACAGTTTTATTTCTTGTCAGAAAGAGGATGCCTACTAAAGTGTATCCTTGACTGACCTCAATTGATAAAATTGCCCTCATCATTAATGATTACCACTTTCTGCAGAGCCATTATAATACAAACTGATCATGTCTTTAATGGTACCAGAACTGAATTTATTATGGCTGTGCAGTAATCATGACCTGCATTGATTAAAGTAGCAACTTGCGGAGGTCCTTATGAATTCCTTTATTTGTCTATGTTTAAAACAAAAATCCTTTTGGAATAATGCTGTTAAAAACAGAAACTATTGGTACTTCCAGGTTACATATTAACAATTAATGGCTCTAGTGCTAACATTCAACAAGGATATCTAGTTCTGGCTCTTTCCCTTAGATATTTGATCCTGGGTAAGTCAATCAACACACAAAAATCAGTAGCATTTCTATTCACCAATAGTGAACAAGCAGAAAGAGAAATCAAGAAAGCCTGCCCATTCACAATAGCCGCCAAAAAAATAAAATACCTAGGAATTGAACTAACTAAGGATGTGAAAAATCTCTATAACGAGAACTATAAACCACTCCTGAGAGAAATTAGAGAGGATACAAGAAGATGGAAAGACATCCCATGCTCCTGGATTGGAAGAATCAATATAGTGAAAATGACTATACTACCCAAAGTAATATACAAATTCAATGCAATCCCCATCAAAATTCCAATGACATTTCTCTCAGAAATGGAAAGAACTATACAGTCATTTATCTGGAATAACAAAAGACCAAGAATAGCCAAAGCAACGCTGAGCAAAAAAAAATAAAGCTGGAGGTATTACTCTACCTGACTTTAAACTATACTACAAAGCCACAATAACCAAAACAGCATGGTACTGGTACAAAAACAGAGACACTGATCAATGGAATAGAACAGAACACCCAGAAATCAACCCACGCACTTACTGCCATTTGATCTTCGACAAAGGCACCAAGCCTATTCACTGGGGTCAGGACTCCCTCTTCAGCAAAGGGTGCTGGGATAACTGGATATCCATATGCAGGAGATTGAAACTAGACCCATACCTCTCACCATGTACTAAAATCAACTCAAAATGGATCAAGGATTTAAATATACACCCCGAAACAATAAAACTTATTAAAGAAAACATAGGAGAAACCCTTCAGCAAATAGGGCTGGGCACAGACTTCATGAATATGTCCCCAAAAGCACGGGCAACCAAAGGAAAAATAAACAAATGGGACTATATCAAACTAAAAAGCCTCTGCACAGCAAAAGAAACAATTAACAGAGCTAAAAGACAACCAACAGAGTGGGAGAAAATATTTGCAAAATACACATCCAACAAAGGACTAATATCCAGAATATATAAAGAACTCAAACAACTTTACAAGAAAAAAACAAGCAACCCAATCAAAAAATGGGCAAAAGAACTAAGTAAGCATTTCTCTAAAGAAGATATGCAAATGGCCAACAGTCATATGAAAAAATGCTCAACATCACTCAGCATCCAGGAAATGCAAATCAAAACCATAATAATCATATACATTGTATATTGACAAAATAAAAATTAAAAAAAATAATAATAATAAAATAAAATAAAATAAAAAAAAAACAATTAATGGCTCTAGTGCTAACATTCAACAAGGATATCTAGTTCTGGCTCTTTCCCTTAGATATTTGATCCTGGGTAAGTCACATGATGCTCTTCTGTAAATCAAGGTTATAAACTAGATAACCTCTAATATTTTGTCAACTGAAATTCTCTATATTTGCATCATCTCAGGTTATTTTGAGTGTTGACCAAATGAGGTATATTCCTTAAATTCAAGCCAATTTTAGTTAGTTAGTTTGTTTGTTTTAAAGATGGCCAGTAAGGGGATCTTAACCCTTGACTTGGTGTTGTCAGCACCACGCTCTCCCAAGTGAGCTAACCGGCCATCCCTATATAGGGATCCGAACCTGTGGCCTTGGTGTTATCAGCACTGGACTCTCCCAAGTGAGCCACAGGCCGGCCCCTAAGCCAATGTTAGTTTTAAATGAAATTGTATATTTATAGGAAATATTTTCTTTTCTGTCTGAGAAGGAAGAATACTTCTGTGAGTAATACTTGTTCTTCCTAAAGTATTGTGAAAATTGTGTAACTTTCAGTATATTTTTATTTAAAAACAGTGTTTTGAGTATAAAGTACCTAAATGATGGAAATGTGAATCATTGATATCCAGATTAAAAGTGGCAATATAGTGGAAAGAATATTGTGTATGTGTTTGGGGTTATTTATGAATGACCTTGATCAAGTCCTGTAACCTTACTGACCCCAGTTGCGTCATAAATAAAAGAACATGCTTGTCTTTTAGGGTTATGTGAAAGTTCAGTGAGAAAATGTATGTAAAATACCTTATACAATGATCGTCATGTTGTTGGCTATATTCTGTGCTAGGTAGTAGATATTTAATGATGAACAGTATAGGCTATGAAAGATAATATAGGGTGATATCCTGTGCAGGATAATATAGTCCATTTCATTTAAAGGGTCCTTTTATTTGGGAGTATAATAAAATCTGAATAGAGAATAGATAACTGATTATATTAAGGAACTTATAATATTCTTTATATACATTACTCTTTAGTAATAAATTATTAATATTTCTTTTTATATATTTAAAGTATTTTTATGTCTGTATAAAGGATTGGTATATACTCTGTTAGGAAAACTGCATATTTAAGTCAAGTGAAATGAATGTCTATCACTGAATCTAGAAGAGCTGATGATCCTTTGCAAAATTGAGAGGGACCATTATTTTAATGATGTAGAATGTTGTTGAAGGAGATTATTTTTTCTGGACCCTTCAGGAACACAGCTCACAGAATGGGTGGGTTAGCAGAAAATTAATAGCAAAAGAATATGAGTTATAGTTTAAAGTTTGTATTTGTTATACATAGGCCTCACACCCAGTTGGCATTGTAAGGTAATTTCATGGATAAAGGCGTATATTTGCTTAAATCGTTTGGAAACTGATTTTTGAATAGAGATTGAATAAATAGTAAAGAAATTTTAAAATGTAGGAGCTTTGCACAAGGGAAAGGGAAAATCCTAACAGAATAGAGCCACAATATCCAGTAAACATCTAAAGCAGGAGAGTGAAAGTAGTGGTAGAAACACAAGCAATAGTAAATGTTTTTTTATTTAGAATATGTTCTTGGTTTTCTAGAAATTGAAATCAGTGTACCATTACATGTAGATTATGAAGTCGTCCCCTCCAACCCCATTATCCTTTTCTTTCTATCTTAAAATGTGTGGAATAAAGCTGCCAGATTATCTTTGAGGGAATAGCCATGTTAGAGTCAGTCAGTATTTGTGTGATTTTGGCAACAAGAGAAGGCCACATTTTTCTAAGTTTTGAGAATCCTGAATCTTCTAAGAACATTGTTAATATATTAGTATTACGTATTACTAAATATTATTAGTCATGTTATCTAGATAATGTAGCTTAAAGTTTTTATCTTATTTTTCTTTAAGCCAAGGGAAGAGATGGTGTTGAGTGGAAAATATAAATCTGGGGAACAAATTCTTCGTCTGGCTAATGAGAGATTTGCTGTTCCAGAAATACTCTTTAATCCTTCTGATATAGGCATTCAAGAAATGGGAATTCCAGAAGCTATTGTCTATTCAATTCAGAATTTACCTGAAGGTACATAAATATTTACAGTAAATTGTTGAAAAATAATGATATTTTAAAAAAATCATAAGCTCTATGAACCTGCTTTTTTCTAAGTAATTTCAGAGAGATGGTGAGTCTGTTTTCTTTGCAGAGATTTCCAGATCCTATAATGCAGTTAAATAATTCTTCCTTGATTCATCCTGTGTTATAAATTTGATGTAGGAAATGTTATTATGGTCCATTTAAATGAAGAAATTTATCTCTCCATGAGTATTATATTTCCATATTCATTTTAGAAGTTTTTTTTTTTTTTTTTTTTTTTGTCCTTTTTGAGACCGGCCGCACCGCGCTCAGCCAGTGAGCGCTGTGAGCACACCGGCCATCCCTATATAGGATCTGAACCCGCAGCGGGAGCCGCACTCTCCCAAGTGCGCCACGGGCTCGGCCCCATTTTAGAAGTTTTAATTTAACCCAAATCTGTGCAAAATAGAAATTTATAATTTAACAATTTAATGGTTTTCAGCTATTGATGGGACTGATTTATTCTTCGTTATACATTCATGCATTACTTAATGACAGGGATACGTTCTGAGAAATGCGTCATTAGGTGATTGCTTCATTGATGAACATCACAGAGTGTACACAAACCTCGATAATATAACCTACTGCACACCTAGGCTATCTGGTATAGCCTATTGCTCCAACCACTGTCATCAATGTGGTCTATCATTGACTGAAACATCATTTTGCGGCATGTGACTGTATTGAGACTAACATACAGGATTAGTGAGGTTGGAGTATGGTGCTTCATAGTGAGTTCTGGGTTCCCCTGAAGCATGATTTAAGTAAATAATGTTCTAGAGTTTTAGAGTAGTTTATATCTTGTCTTCCTAGTTCATAAGGAATAGTCTAGGCATTGGAGAAAATCTAGCACATGCAATGTGCTTCCTTTCATTAAAAAAAAAAAAAAAAGGATGAAAAAGTAACATAATAAAAAAAGTCACATAATGCTATTACCGTAACATAATTATTTTACAACTATTATTTCACAGCTATTTTCATATTAATTTCACATTTTGTATGAAATTGCAGTTATGATGTATACGGTATCTCATGTTACACTGCTTTAATGTCATGGCGTGAGGCTCAATGTCATTATAAGGGAACTCTGTACTTGTTTTGGTAAACAGAAGCATTTAGGTGGGATGGACAATACCTATTAATTCCTGATGGATTTCTCAGTGGTGGATTGTAGGTTTTTAATATTGGCTAACTGTACAGCACTTAATGTTTGCCATTATGTAACTTTAATGAGGGTTCACACTTAGATCCTTCCTTTAAATATTATTATGGATTGTGAGTGCTTTTCACTGTCTAAGGTAATAATTGCACAATAGATATGTCTGTCTCAATGAGACAACATGGAAATTTGGAGTGACAAGTTACAACGTCATGAAAGACCTTCCTTTCATCTTTAACAGTAGTTTGCAATCTCAGCCTACAGCAAGACTGCCTCCATTGCAGGGAAAAATGATAATTATATCAAATATCTGCTAACTAGAATGTTACTCATTTATATACAGCTTGCATGTGTTACGTAGTGGTTCAGGCAACTCACTGTAGCTTTTTCTTTTCAAGATCTTGGAGGTCATATTTCATTCTGTTTAATGATTCTATTTGTATAAACTCTAACCTTATTACAAATCTTAGAATGGACCTTAAAAATTGTAGTTTCCCAACCAGTAACTGTAATCCTTAATGGCTTTTTATCTAATCCTATCTTTCGAGAAAGATTAGTAAACAGATTTTCTAATGCCTTTTTTCTTCCCTTTCTCCTTTTTCTTCTTCTAAAGAAATGCAGCCGCATTTTTTTAAGAACATTGTTTTGACAGGAGGAAATTCCCTTTTCCCAGGATTTAGGGATCGGGTTTACTCAGAAGTTCGATGTCTCACTCCAACAGATTATGATGTTTCTGTTGTGCTGCCTGAAAAGTAAGCATTGGTTTATATAGAAACAAAACACGGAAGCTATAGGAAGACTTGAGTTTAAAGCCTGGTTCTAACATGTTAGTAGGTTTATTTCACCTGTTGAATCCCCATTTTCCTTCTCTCAGGAATTGAAATGATAAACCTTACATTTCAGTGAATTAAATTGGATGAAGTGTAAAGACCTGCCATGATGTTTGGTACATAAAGGATGCTCAGTTAACATAGGATCACTTCCATATAGTAAATCAGTCCTCATTCCTAAGACATTTTTATAGGCAAAGCAATAAAAAAAAATCCATTTGATTTATCTGAGACATGTCATTTCTTTATAGTTTCTATCAAGAATAGAAATTTAAGAATTGAGGGTTGGCTAGTTACTCAGAGCATGGTGCTTTAACACCAATGTCAAGGGTTTGGATCCCTGTATGGGCCAGCAGCCAAAAAAACAAATAAACCTCCCCACCCCACCCCAAATAATCCATATACACACAAGAATCGAACCATTAAGATAAGTTATGTCAATTCATAAGGTGTTTGGGAATTTTGTTAGTTCAAAACTTTTATGTCTGGGCCGGCCTGTGGCTCACTCGGGAGAGTGCGGTGCTGATAACACCAAGGCCACGGGTTTGGATCCCTATATAGGGATGGCCAATGAGCTCACTTCAGAGAGCGTGGTGCTGACAACACCAAGTCAAGGGTTAGGATCCCCTTACTGGTCATCTTTAAAAAAAAAAAAAATTATGTCTAGCCCCTACCCTGTTTTATGAGAAAAATCAGATAGCATAATTTCCACTTTAGTGGTAAAAAAAAAATTAAGGTAGAATTTTAGAGCTGTAAGAAGGGCTTACAGATCATCCTGTTCAACATTTGTACTTTTTTGGCTGGCCAGTTAACTGATTTGGTTAGAGTGCAGCCTTGCAACACCAAGGTCATGGGTTTGGATCCCCGTACTGGCCAGCCACAAAAACAACAAAAGTCCTACTTTGTACATAAAGAAACAAGGGCTCGTGACTTGGCAAATGCCTTACAATGAGTTAATAGCAGTGGCCAGATTAAAACCCAGTTCTTTTAACCTTGAATCAGGAGTTTTTACCAAAGTACATGTCTAACTAACCCACCCCTAGTGTTAGTGGCAGAGTTGCAAACAAGACCCCACATACCTGACTCTTAATTCTAGAGTTTTGTTTTAAAGGTAAAGTAGAATTTTTCAAGATCTGTAGCAGTTAATGGAAGGCCCTCATCTGTATCTCTTTATTTTATAGCTGTCAGGTAAAAGAATAAACCATTTTTAAACAATTGGAGTGATATCAGCATTAATGTTCACATACTCTTTAGAGTACAAAGCACATTGGATTTTTATTCTGCGTGCACACATTACAGGCCAAGGGATCCACAGAAATAGGTTTAATTCTTTTATTCACTAAATCTTTATTATGCATCCACAACTTCTATATACATAGCTTTTTGCGGGGGAGTGAGGGTTGGCTGGCTGGTTCTGGGATCTGAACCCTTGACCTTGGTGTTATAACACCATGCTCTAAAGCTATATGTATATGTATATGTGTGTGTATGTGTGTGTATATATATGTAGTTTTACAAAAGTCTAGGAAATGTAATAAACTCAATAAGGAAACATTTATTGATTAACTTTTTTTTATTACCTTTTTCAGATTTGAAACTGAATTGGAGGAAAGGAACAGTAGAAATAGAATTAAGTCGTAACACAAAGTATAATCTTGGTTGTAGATAGCAAAACCAAACTAAATGTTTTATCTGCTCAGATTTTACGTATTGACTGAGTTCTACCATGTCATTGTTTATCATGCACTGTGTTTTCTAAATGTTTTCATTTATTAGAGGCAACAAAGTGTAGCAGCAAAAGCACAGACTGTGAAAACAGTTCTGGGCTAAATCCTAGTTTCAGGCTAAATTATAGTTTTAGACTTAACCTTTCTGAAGCTCATTTTCCAAATATATAAAATGTGAGTATATAATAGCTATTTTATGGGTTGCTGTGAGAAAAAATGAGAGGACATATCTTTACCATACACAGAATTTAGACTGTTACGACAACATTTTTTCCTTTTAGGCATCTTTTGATCTTTTGCTTGTATTCTTATTTTTTCATTAGAAGTAGAGGGTCGATAAATTCATGGCATAGGAAAAAAGGAACACTTACTATTTTGTAGTGGTGACCAAGGTTCCTTTTTTTTTTTAGTTTGCTCTACTATGTGAACATGCTTATTTCTACACCTTAATGATTATCTGTTAAATTAAGTTGTGTAGAGTTTGCCACATTTTACTTAGTAAATATTGTTTCAGACATTTCAGTTCTGTAAAATCGTCTAGGTTCATTTACTTTACCTTTATTTTCAGCCCAATTACTTATGCCTGGGAAGGTGGAAAATTGATATCAGAAAACGATGATTTTGAAGATATGGTGGTAACAAGAGAAGATTATGAAGAAAATGGACACAGCATCTGTGAAGAGAAATTTGATATCTAAAAAACATTTCTGAATGAAAGTCTTGACTGGTTGTGACTGAAAGGTTTAATTTCAATTTTCTTTTCGAAGTAGGTTAAGGACCTGTGTTGCCTTTCATCCTAAGATAAAGTCTTGAACTTATGTAAATACTTGATCCATTCCTAATTTTTTTTTTTTTTTTGGTGGCTGGCCTGTAAGGGGATCTGAACCCTTGACCTTGAGCTTTTGAGCCAACCAGTTGTTTATTTTCAAAGGCTTCTTAGCTAGTTTATTGCAGTAAATATTTTCATTTGGGAGCTATGCTATTATAATAATGCTTATGCTATTTCTGAGAAAGCACAAACTTAACTCCTTCATTGTTGAGTTTTCCTTAGTTTTTTGTGACCTTTCTTTTTTTTTTTTTGCTGGCTGGTACAGGGATTGAAACTTAGACCTTGGTGATGTTATCATATCAGCACCATTATCTCACTAGCTTTTTGTGTGACGTTGACTAGGAATTGGCCGAAGTGTTTTCAGGCTGATATGATTTTTCTCTTTTAGGACTAAGTATTTTATTTAGAATTGTTATTGTTATTTATATATATTATAGTTGGAAAGACTAATCTTATGCATATATGATGTTTATTTATTTAGAGTACATTTAAAAGTGGGGAGACTAAAGCCAATGCAATAAAGATTTTTTGGTCACTACTATGTTGGCAGAAACGTATTATTTCACTCATAAAAGTACTCTACTGTGTTTTAGGTTGGAAGTAAATTTGAAATTAACTCAGGGTTGCTCAAAAACCCTTGATACAAATGTTAATGTTTTGTTTTAAAGTCTCTTATATGATTCACAATAAACATATTAAGATGTTAAAGGCTTTGGTTTTCCAGTTTAAGGAACCAGCTGACAGTGATATTAATGAATGGATCAGGTAGGCCTTTTGACTGCAAGTAGTAGAAACTCATTTGAGGTATCTTCAACAAAACAAAATTTAGCAGGGCAGAGGATAGTTCATGAAATCTAAGAAAAAGCTAGGCCAACAGCCTTAGGAAGGATAAAAACCAGGGTAACTTTAGGGATCTGTTAGAAACTGATGTTAGAGCTCTGCCATCAAAATATCTGAGCTCCTATATTTTCAGTTTTATGTCATTGTACTCATGAATCAAATTCCTAGCCTTCTTTTGACCACACCTGGGATAATGCCCCTATCCCATAGCTTGAGGGGCTTTGACAGACCTGCTAAAATTGAGATGTAAAGATTAATGCTGGGCTAGATGAAAGAACTGTCCACTATATCATATTCGGATTATGTTGGTTTAGGTCCTGGTCAGTCCTTCCTAGACCTAGGTTGGTTATCATTATTGAGTTGCAAAGTGATTATGTTTGTGTGATACCCAGTTAATAACATTTAATCTGTGGACAATGTAGCAAGAAGGTGCTGGTGGCATAAAAAAACTTTTTGCAACCAACATAACTGTGCTAGAATTTCAAGGTGATGTGTGTGATATTATGATGTATGTATATTGGTTTTTGTCCACAGTTCCTGGCTCCCCAAGGCAGGACTCTAAC